ACTCACAAGCTCTTGGAGATGCGATCGAGTGTCCATCTCATTATCGAAAAGCACGAGTTCGCAGCCAAGCCCGTCTCTGAGAAACCGAATTAACCATTCGATCTCTCGTTTCCTATCATCTATTACTAATACTTGTCGAAACTTCATGCACACCACCCTTTCCGCCCAAGTTTGCCTTGTGGAAACGATAGTTGAAACGTAACCTTTGCCATGGGCGCGTGTTCACGACATTTCTCAGAATAGCAAATAATACTGCCATCGTGGTAATCGACTATTTTCTTTACAATCCACAAACCCAACCCTGTACCGTCCCGGGAAGCTGCAGCGACTGGATTACGATAGCCTCGATCGAAAATCGCGCTGCGTTCATTAACAGGAATCGGTATTCCGATATTTGATATATTAAGATTGCTTGCATATCTTCCCGCGCTAGCGTAGATCTCGATGCTCGTGTCGGTTCTCGAGTACTTAATCGCATTGTCGACTAAATTGAACGCAACTTGCCGAAAGAGCTCAGGGCTTCCCCTGAACTCTCGAAAGAACCTGTTGACAGTATCCGCATCGACATGCAGAGCCAGGTACTCGGACCTCAGCATATGCTTGAAATTAAGCTTTACTTCAATCAAAGTTCGCGCCAGATCGATCACTTCCTTCTCAAATTTTTCGCCTTGTAAGATCCGATCAATATACGAGAGATTTTGCGCTAACATATTACAAACGCGGGTTTGCCCGCTTAGGTATCTCATTTCCCTCCAGAGGGACGACTCCTCGGGAATCCAGTTTCTCGCTTCCTCTAGATTGTGAGCCAAGGCGCCAAGAGGAGTCCGAATCTGATGACTCAAACTGGTCATGTAGTCCAAGTTGAGCCTTGTGTTTTCCTTGAGCTTTTCGTAAAGCTCACGATCTTCAGTCAGTCGATCCGTAGGAAGATCCAGCAGCTCTTGAAGTTTGATCTTATCGGAGGCATCCTCATATAAACCTTCAAAGCCATCGGGTTCTCCCATCTCGTCCTTAAGCAACCGAATGAATCCACTGGCTTTGAAACACTTACCGCTCTTACGCTTTAAATCATGGACCGTTCTGACGACCTTCCCATCCTGATAAACAGCCTCTCGATACAACTCCTTCTGGTGATCCACATCGGGATAAAGATCACTTCGTTTGATTCCAAACATCTCCATTTCATTATATCCGATCAAACGTTGCTCGGCTTTGGAAGT